TCACACGTCACGTCGCTCACGTAGCACGGCAAGAGGGTTGGAGATCCGTGAAGTTAATGAAGATGCGTCATTAAAATCCGTTTGATGCTTCAAAGTAAGAAATCAATTTGTTTAATGTTCCCAATAAATGTTAATATTACATTTATAGAAGAGCACAGAGGCTGCACATTTAGGGGTCACCCCAACAGATCATCTGCCTCACCTTTTCTCCAGCGTCCTCCTCTGTCACCCCAACACTCTCCATCAATGAACCTGTTTTCCTCCTCCTGCTGCATCCAATATATATCCAGTGTTCCTCTACTGCACATGTCTCAGCCCCATCCCTCTAACTTTAACTCCAAACCTGAGCTGTCCTTCTGGTCACTAGCATCCTAGCCTCACATAAGAAGGTTCTGGGTTTGAATCCAGTCTGGGGGTCTCTGTCTTGAGTTCGCACGTTTTTCCTGTGCTTATACCTGGATCCTATCTGGCTTCCTCCGACAGATCAAAGACAATTAGTGAAGTAAGTATATAGGTAAATTTTGGTGAATTAGATTAGCAGATGAGAATGGATGGATAGACTGCTACTAATAAAGCATCTGATGGCAAGTGGGGTTAAAGTATTTATCAGTGTAACATTAATGGATGTCAGAATTTAAGGAGTAAAGGAAAAAGCGACTGACCTAAAACTAAACTAAACTAAACTGATGGACTGTAAAGAAGTCCATCAGTTATATTTATCCCATATGGTTTTACAGAAGTTGATTTCGCTTTCTTGAAACTAAAGTGAATTTACCTTTTGTGCTTTTATTTTGAAAGTAGGCGTATAGGAAGTTGTCTGTTAAACTTTCGCTTGACTCCGCCCCACGTTTTACAGGAAGTAAAGAAATGTCTACAGGAAAAACTAGAAGACTTCACTGAATGAACTGACGGATAAACCTTCAACACTCACCTCTTCTGCTTCTGCTTCCGACAACCTTTATCAAGAGTCTCCACCGGAAACGCCTTTTCATCTCTCAAAGAGAAACGGTGAGTATTTTACAGAAACTCTAAATGAAAGTGAACTGTTGTGTGTCATTTTAGCACTTATTACTTAGGTTATGTTTTTATTCTTCAAGTAATATTATCAGTTTCGGTTATTTAGCCTGAAGAAGCACCTTTTACTTTTTTCTCTTTTTAAAAACTAAAAGCCTTCAAAGTTGCTCTGATCCAATATTTCATCCATTTGAATTAACTATAATATGTGGAGTTCTGTAGAGAGACAAAGTATAAGCCTTGAGATATTGTGATTGCTTCCGTGGAACAAACAGGATGTCTTCAAGCTGAGTAATAACTGGAACTGAGTAATAAAGTTTCATCATACAAAGTGCAGGGAAGTTGTGGCCTGTTGGAAAGAGAATATCACTCTCTCGAAAGATAAGATGGCTCTTAACAATAGCCAGTAGTCACTGACGTGTTATTCTTTGAGCAATATAATTGTTTCATGTGGTTGGACAGGTGAAGGCTTGAACCTGCTGACGTGGGACAATACAGGTGTGTCACTTGGCTTTAAACAGGTGTGTCAGGATAAAGCATCTCCTCATCCTCCAGTCAGGGTGGCATAGTTTTGCTTCCACTACAGCATTCAGACTGAGAGAGGATTTTGATTGACTTGATGTGATTGTATCTTTTATCCATCAGACCCAAAGAATGGCAGAGAAGGTGCTGGTCACAGGTGGAGGAGGCTACATCGGGAGTCACTGTGTGGTGGAGCTCATTGAAGCAGGCTACCAGCCAATCGTGGTGGATAACTTCAGTAACGCTGTGCGAGGTGAGCTCACCAATTAAGAGCTTTTACTGAGAAAATTACTGAAAAAACTGTAGGGTCTACCTTACAGGCAACTGATTTGGATTAATTAAAATTGAATTGAATTGAAAAGTAATCAGCGTGATACTTAGACCTAGTGTTTCTGTATGTGTGTGTGTGTGTATCCATTGTGTTTTGGATTGAGGAGAAGGGAATGTGCCAGAGAGCATACGCAGGATAGAAAAGCTCCTGAAAACCAGCATTGAGTTTCATGAGCTGGACCTCCTCGACCGCCCCGGCTTGGAAAAGCTGTTCAAAAAGGTCAGAAAGTTGTTACACTTGGTTTGTTTTTCCTAATTATTCATCTGCATCTGCTACTGTTTTAGAGAGTGCCAACAGTGTACACACTTTGATTTGTAAAGTCAGTGTGTTTGGGGTTGTTTGGCTAAAAAAAACAGCCCGATTTCTGCTTTACTGTTACACACACAAAACAATCAGCAATAAGATAAATGCACCATTTAACTTTTTTAGCCTTTGTTTGTTTCCTTAAAAATGTCCCTGCTGGCCTGCATAAACTGTCATGAAAAGCAGTTCATTTGTAGTATTTGCATGCCTTAAATCTGAAACCGGCCTGTGTCACACATGTGCTTCTCTGTTTGTGTGCTGCAGCATTCCTTCAGTGCTGTGATTCACTTCGCGGGGCTGAAAGCTGTGGGCGAGTCGGTGGAGAAGCCGTTACTCTACTACAAAGTGAACCTCACCGCCTTCATGAACCTGCTTGAGGTCAGTCAGTAGCTCCTGGGTAAACTGATCTCAGGTCTGCACTTTCAATCTTTGCTCTGCACTCATTATTAATCCCTGCTCTGACCTTATTCTGTGTTTGCTGAGCGCACACCCGTGTGTTCATTTGAAAATGAGCTGATAAATTCTAAAACCGCATCCTTCTCATATGTTATGCATGTGGAGCTCATCATAACAGCCAGAATCAGCCTTTTTTCCTCAGCCCTGAGCTGTGGACTGCTGACTTGCTGGCCACTGATTGTGTGTATGTGCCGTGTTTATGTGTATCTGCACGTCCCCCAGGTGATGCAGGCTCACAGAGTGCGCAATCTGGTCTTCAGCAGCTCCGCCACAGTATATGGAGACCCCCAGCGCCTCCCCATAGATGAGCAGCACCCCGTGGGAGGCTGCACTAACCCCTACGGGAAGACCAAGTACTTCATCGAGGAGATGGTCAAGGACCACTGTAAAGCTGAGAAGGTAAACTCAGAAGAAAGACATTCACAGACGCACACACTTCCATCTCCTGAGTTGTCTCATTATTCCTTCTCTGTGGGCAGGACTGGAATGCTGTGCTGCTGCGCTATTTCAATCCAATCGGAGCTCATTGCTCCGGTCAGATAGGAGAGGACCCTCAGGGTATCCCTAACAACCTGCTGCCATATGTTGCCCAGGTATCTAAAGTCTCTGCCAGATGCCACGCTGTGCTCATCATAGTGATTGTATTTCAGTCTTTCATCTGTCTCCATAAATCACATGACTCCGATTTGCTTGCATTGCTTAATTTAGGTCGCCGTTGGGAGACGAGAGTGTCTGAGCGTATATGGGAATGACTACGACACGATCGATGGCACAGGTAACGAAATTACTGCAAATCACTGCACTTGCTTTGAAATAGCACTTTAAATAGCAGCCAGATACTCGGTACCATGAAAACGAGGCTCCTTTCTCTTTGCAGGTGTGAGAGATTACATTCATGTTGTGGATCTGGCAAAGGGACACATAGCTGCTCTGAAGAAGCTGAAGGAGGACTGCGGGTGCAAGGTATAACAACTTGGAGCAAATTTCCATCATGACCATTGTCACATAGATGCTTTAGATATTTATTAGTGTGTGTGTGTGTGTGTGTGTGTGTGTCTGTAGGTTTACAACCTTGGGACAGGAAAAGGCTACTCAGTGCTTGAGATGGTGAAAGCCATGGAGAAGGCTTCCGGAAAAGAGGTGAGTCATCGTGGTTACTGTGAGAGCTGAATCATGTTTATAGTCTGTTTTCTAGAAGTGACGCAAAGCACGACCAATCTGGCACTGTGGAAATACCTCTGATCACCTTATTTTTCCATGTAATTAACATAATGTGTTTTCTGTTTAGATCCCATATAAGATCGCCCCTCGCAGAGGCGGAGACGTAGCTTCCTGCTACGCCGACCCTCGCGTAGCTGAGAAGGAGCTGGGCTGGAAGGCTCAATTTGACCTGGAAAGAATGTGTAAGGACAGCCACGCTGGAAAATCTGATTCTTCTCCATGATTGCTCTTCTACAGTCAAATAAATGTGTTGTAGCATCTCCCGTATGATCTCTGTGTTTTTTCTTTGCACTCCTTTCCATGCAGGTGAGGACCTGTGGCGCTGGCAGTCCATGAACCCCACCGGATTTTCTAACGGCACTTGCTGACGCAACCCGAGCAGACTGTTGCTTAAAAATCCTCTTTTAAAATCACCAAAGGGAACCACCAGCTTCCTCATTGGCGCAATGACACATAAGACCTCAAGAGAAGCTGCATTGTTTTTATTTTTGTTAAACTCTAATGATTCAGCTGACTACAAGAAGAGTATCTAAATGTTTGTTTACTCTTTGCTGTTAGCTCAGACTTAACAACTGATATTTTCTCTATAAATGTATTGATCTGTGAGCCATAACAATGAAAGAATAAATTAATTTTCTTACTGAATAGCTGAAACGCGCACTTTGCCTTGACTGTCTGGAGTGATTGTGACCCCGGTTTTTGTTGTTATATACATATAAAAAAATTTCTGAAATACGGGGGCAGATTAAAGACTCGGACCTGTGTGGTAAGGTTAGAGGAGCATCATGAGCCCTGCACAAATACTGTATGAATATCGCTCCTTTCGCAACGAGGGCGTCTGTTTAAACGGGGCACTGGGACTTTAAATGGCTCCTTGAACCCTCGGGCACCCAGTTAATAAACACCCACGTCAGCACTGTGCTCCAGTCGGTCTAACCGGGTTTCGGTCTTTAGGGCTGAGCAGGAAGTGCCTGACTGTGGACCCTGGACGAGCAAAGAAAAGAGCGGAGGGGGGGAAAGGCAAACGGGAATTAAACATGGATATGGTGGCGGACTTGGGGGCGAGCAGGCTGTACAGGGCGCCGGGTGAATCGAGCCACCAGTGAGTATCGATGGATTTTGTCAGGGGGGGTATGAAGGCGTGGGGCGTAAGCGGGTCCTGCCGACACCTCGCGCCTGCGAAGCAGTCGCTCGCTTTGGGCAGCAGTCAAATCCTCCCCGCTGCTCGCCGGACCTCCGGAGAGAAGTGGGGGTGGTCTTGAGGATGAAAACGGGCGTGTTAGTGCGTCGTTGCCCCAGACTGTTACACAATGCGAATAGATGTGTTTTTCGAGCTCGCAGCGCGCTCACTTGCCGGAGGTTTGTGTCTGTTTTTCTATTGTGTGCTGGCTGAAGCCTGAAGTGGGCGTCGCTCCAGGACAGACAGACTGGGCTGCCCGCTTTCCTCTCGCAGGACTGCAGCACTGTCGTGTCGCTTTGTAGGTCGAAGGATGTCTGATTTTACGCGGAAGAGCTCGGTGGGGACGTTAGTCTTGATTTCGCGTGCCGTGAAAGGCACCGTGGAGTCCTGCGGGCGGGCGTTGCACCGTGGGTTGTCGGGCGCTGCGGAGGTTGTCACACAGCCGCGCTGATGGCTCATTAAACACGAAAGCGTGCAATCCCGAGCCTGCACGAGCACGGATTGAACAGGTTACCGTGAAATGAGAACTGTTCTGAAAATCAGGGTGCTGGACATTTTTTTTCTCTTTGCGTGTCCGGCTGCAGTGTTTTATTTTCTCTTCCTACAAGTCTGACGCGTTTACTCCATCGGGGGTTTCCGGAGCGCGTGAGACCTCAGAAATGATTAAAGGTTTTGTCACCCGATGCTCTCTGACTGACTTGAGTCGGGTGTAACCCATTAGGAGAAGATTTTGCCTGAAGGATCCTTCAACAAATCAAAATGCAGAAAAAAGTCAGGTGGGCGGGCCCTCTGCTGAGCCTGTGTAAAGACAAAGATGCAATAATTGACAGCTGCAAGCATGTGGTGATGCTGCTGTGTTTGTTATGCTCAGATCAGTGTGCCATGATTACCATTGTAGGCTGTTACCAGACCATTAAAATCCAGGAGCCCGTGTTTCCTTTATTTATCTTGTTAATTTGGCATTGGGAGAAGTTCAGTAATAAATGTCCACCGGGTCTGCGGGACCTCTGTCATTTCTTATTTTCTTGATAAAGAAGTGAGTGTGTCATGCATACAGAGCTAGTGAGCAAGCTGTCATGTTGTCTCCTGCAGGCAGCCTCAGAGGTGGTTCAACACGGCCGACATCACAGTGTCTCACCAAAGCAACATGCTGAAGCAGCTCAACCAGCAGCGCCGCCAGGAGCTTTTCTGTGACTGCAGTGTGTTGGTGGAGGGCCAGCTCTTCAGGGCTCACCGCAATGTTTTGTACGCCAGCAGTGGCTACTTCCGCATGCTGCTGTCCCAGGGGCCCGATGACTCTGTCAACGCCACCTTCGACGTCTTCAGCCCCGAGACCTTCACCGTCATCCTGGATTTCATCTACTCCGGCCAGCTGGACCTCTCCAGTCACAATGTGATTGAAGTTATGTCTGCAGCCAGCTATCTGCAGATGAACAACGTCATCAGCTACTGCAAGAACTTCATCAAGTCCTCCTTGGACATCAGTGTGAAAGATGAAGACAGCGATCGCTGCCTCAGCTTGTCTGAGACCTGTAGCTTTACCAGCGGAGCAGGAGAAGACTCCACAGAGCAGCATCAGGGCCCCTGCTCTGTCAGCCCTCCACCTGCGCTCTGGACTCGGGACAACTCCAGATCACAGTCTAGCTTTATGGGAAAGGACTCGGACCAGGATCCTTCGGCCTCAGCCCTGAAGACTGACCCTAACAGCCCTGTTAACGAGCTCAGTGCAGATGCAGAAGACCTCCAGGACCCTCAGGACCCTTTGTACACCTTGCCTGGATCAGAGCGTCGGCGTGGAAAAGGGAGCACAAAGAGGCGAGCGTCCAACAGCGCTCGGTCCAACCAGCACGAAGACTTGGACATCCAGGAGGCACGGACACGAAAGGCTGAAAAGGCAGAGGAGCTTTACGCTACTCTACCACCGATTGTGGGTGTTATTGGACACTTTAATAAAGGTGTGTGCTGCCAGAAGATGATGATGACTGGAACACTTGGACAGAGATGATAGGAAAAAGTCAAATGTCACAATTTCTCTGTTCCTCTTTGCAGATTCGAATCCTACCATGCGCTTCAAATGCCCCTTTTGCACACACACAGTGAAGAGGAAAGCAGACCTGAAGCGTCACCTGCGCTGTCACACCGGGGAGAGGCCGTATCCATGCCAGGCCTGCAATAAGCGCTTTACTCGCCTGGAGCATCTACGCAGCCATTTTGAGACAGTAGGTGTTTTCACAGCAGATGGTAAATTTACACTTTCTTCTGTGTCTGTGTCGGCTTACAGCTCCAGGAAAACAAGCTGCTAAACAAATTTACTCTAATATTGAATAAATCTTTATCCGATCTTTTCTTTTTCTTTTTAATCTCCCAGATTCATCAAGCTAGGAAGCTGGTGTGCAGGAAGTGTAAGTGTCAAGTGACCGAGGAGACAGGGCATGTGGTGTGTGAGGGCACGAGACGCTACCGCATGTGCACGGCGTGCATCCAGGAAGTGGGCTGTGACGACGTCCCCATGAACAGCCTGGAGGGGCACAACGAGGAGCCGGCACTGTTACTGGGCGTGGACGGGGAGGAGGAGGGGGACACAAAGAGGAGCTGGATGGTGACTGACGACGATGACCTGGCAGAAGACTCGGGCGCCGACCTCATCATCCAGCAAGTGGATGTCAGCGACGAAGAGCTGCAGTGAAACTGGACCAAAGTGTGCGTGTGTTTGTGTGTGTGCAGATGCGTAACCATATTTGAAGTGTTTGTGTTTTAAAGTGCCCCTGGTATGCTTATTTTCAATTTAGGGGTTTACTACAATACGTTTACATTCATTAGTATTCAAAAATCATTTTTCTCGTATTGTACTGTGCATAGTGTTACTGCTGCTCCTCTTTTCACCATCTGCCTGAAATGATCTGTTCTAGGAAAGCGAGGTATCCAGCCAGAGTTACAAGTACCCCAGAGAGTACTTTAGCAAGAGCAGTTAATTAAATTACAATTTCATTAAAGAATTGATTGAACTTAACGGATTTTTGGCAGATAATTAATTGAAAGTAATGGTTAAAAAGCAGAATTGGGCGAAAATAGTCATGCATAAATGATTCAAACATATAAGAAATGATCAAAAATGAAATATCCTGCTAAAAGCACAGCTAAAATCTTTAGCTAAGAGAATACGCAGTTCAAATGGTTCAATAGTGGATGAATATAACAGTTATATAACAGTTACAATTAAAACACAACAGAAAAATAAAACCTGTTTTCTAGGCTGTATTATAACACAACTAAAGATGGTTAGCCGTGCAGCATTTTTGTGATTTCTACTGTCATTATTTTTTTTTTTTTAATTAAAAATGGAAAAAAAGAAATTCACCAGGTCTTCAGTTCATCAGCCGGAGGGCACAAAAGCTTGTTTTCATTCTTCCAGCCTCGCAGAATATTTGGTTTGCTGACATGTTTTACATTTAGTTTGTAGAAAAGAGAAAAATGGCAGACTTTTAGGCAGTTGGTGCAACTGGATGTAGCTGAGGCATTCTTTGTTTAGCTGCTAAACTGGCATTTTACATGGTGACATAGAGAAGTAACGGAAGAACAGCCAGTTTCACTTCAGTGTTTTGTGTGGGTGGGTGAAACTTTACTTTTAATAAAGGTGTGAAGAATAGGGAAAAACCCCAAAAGCTTAACAGGGGCACTTTAAAGCCATGCAGGAGAGTTTATGCATAAAATGTGGGATTCACTCATGTAAAAACACATGTTTATGATATGTTGTGTATTAGTTTAGTCTTTTCTTATCAGTTTGTTGAGCTTTGTCAGAAAAAAAATGAAGGTTTTCTGTTAAGCTTCATAAAGATATGCAGTATCTGAAGCATGCATATTATGTGTTTCCTTTGCTTCAATCATAATATGATATTATAATCTTTTCAATAAGCTTTTTTTTCTCTCGTGCATGAAAAGCTTTGGTCCTTTTGGCTGCTTTCTGCCAGCCTTTCAGCAAAAAGGTGAAGAACAGAATGATCACCTGTATCCTGTAGGGACAGTCTTTTTAAATGTTTTGTTATGATATGCAGTATGATACAAACGCATAATTTATTTGTTTGTTTGTTTGTTTGTTTTTTACTTTTGGACACATTAAAGATATTTTTATAAATTTGTTTCTGGGTCTTTAACTTTAATCACGAATAACCGAACGACTTCTCATTCAAAGGAGGCTCTGTTTTTTATTATTCTTATAGGAGTATTAAATGGTGTAAAGTAAGATAGAAGTAAAGTCATAGAAAAATAAATAAGATAAAGGACAACGATTGTGGGAAAACTGGTAACAGTGAAAAAGTGCAATAAACTAAACCTGAAAAAATTATAAAATTTTGTACATAGTTTTGTCATCTTGGAACAAATACATCAGTATATACAAAAACTTTACAACTCTGAATGCAAATTGCATGTTACCAATAAAATCAATTCTGGAGTCATTACGGCATCTGTGATGGAAAAGTTTAAATAATAAACGACAAAATATTACAACAATGTTGATTATAACCTATTTAAACAGGGGAAAATTGGATCAAGATGAAAAATTCAGTCATCTTCCAGTTAATTATCTCACTTTCTTGTACCTCGATGTAAACTTTCTATAGTTTGCTTTCATAATGGTGTGTTTTGTAGACGCTGGCAATGATTTTCTTACATCTTCAAGAATGTTCTTGGTTCGATGTTGTGGGGAGGTTTTTCTTAACCATGGAAATGATTCTGTGATCATGCACTTTAGTTGTCTGCTGAATTTCTTGCTATTCCTCTGATACACCTACTTTTGTTCTTTAAACCTTATTCTGAAAGTTCCTGTCGTGGAATTTTTTAGTGATAAAGTCTGCAACACGGTCAGCTGTGGTCAGGCTATTTTAATTACTGCATGCAGGAGAGCCAACACGCATCAAACATCACAGTTCACAGTCATGCCAGCTCTGCCCTTAAGATGTTGCAGGTCTCTTTTATACCCACACACAGCTCTCGGTATCTTTTCCGTTACAACAGGTTTTTTGTCCCATGGGCTGTTGCTGGGCAGAGACCAGTTTCCCATGAAGATCCCGGCACTGGTCTTCTTGGGAGTTTCGTCCTTGTACGCCCTTACAGTTAGCAGATAACACAGTGAAACATTGTTTCACAAGGTCATATTGACACATAATGTGAAAACTAGAATTTTCCCCATTACATTACAGATAAAAGCTACCAAACACAAGTTCAACACTTCGACAATAAATCAACTCTATATGTTTTATCTGGTTAAACTGCCTTGCCATTTACCACTGAAGCTCTGAAAATGAAGGACCACGAACACATAGTCTTTCACCCATAGTTTGCCACTGTAATAGTGTACAGATGCAAAATTACAAATATTGTGGACCTAATTATATTTTAAAAGGAAAGGAAACATATCTGGCCACAAGGAAAACCAAAAGTGAGCTAAATTAAAAATTAAAAGATAATAATTAATAATCTGGTTTTGCTTGAAGTTTCTTCCTGCTAACATTGAGTTTTCTCGTTCCACTGTCCACAAGTGCTTGCTCACAGTGGGTCGTTTGATTTTGGGTGTATTGTAGAGGATACAAAGCGCCTGGAGGAAACTATTATTGTGATTTGGCGCGTCATAAATCATAAACAATTCTTTCAGTTCCACCCTTTCGCCCATAGATGGCGTCCACGCGGTGCTTTCGTGAGCCTGTGAGGACTCCGCGCCTGGAAGGGACGTCGTGACGTCAAACGGAGGCTGGACCATCATGGCGACTGTCATGAAGCTCGTCCACAGGAACGCTTTAACGTCGCTTATGGGGCAGCACTGCCTGTCGTTCAGCTCCGCGGCGGCGCACAGAGCAGTGAGTTTGAATTGTGTGTGATATGACGCGCTGCTTAGATGCACGGCCGTGTTTGTCCGCTAGCTGTTAGCGTCCCCTGCTGTTATGCTAATTGTCGTTACATGTTCGAGGCCCCTTATTAGCTGATGGTAATTTAACACCAATTGTTTCTTCTGTTCGTGTTTTAGGCCGGAGTAAGAGCGGCCCAGGCTTTTCCAGGGAAGGTGAAAATAGTGGAGGTGGGACCAAGAGACGGCCTTCAGAATGAGAAGGTAGCGTGTTTACGATGGCGCAGGCGCATAGCTCGTGCTTTGCGTCACCAGGTGATAACAGAGTTACCCGAGTTAGTTATGTCGATCCTTACATAACCAACTCTTTGCACTTTCAGACTCTTGTGCCAACAGAGGCCAAAATTAAATTAATTAACATGCTGTCAGAGTCCGGGCTGTCCGTCATTGAGGCTACCAGCTTCGTCTCCCCAAAGTGGGTTCCACAGGTGAGTATGCACCCCCCCCCACGCACACACAGTGCTGGCACATCCGGCTAAGGGCAGTACACAAACTGCATGACTTCTTTCTGTCACTGCTGACCGGTTTCTGTCATCCAAATGTCAGATGGCAGACCAGGTGGAGGTGATGAAGGGTATCAGCAGGAAGCCCGGGGTGACTTATCAAGTCCTCACCCCCAATCTCCAGGGTTTCCAGGCTGCTGTGAGTGTCAAGCATCCAATCTCATCAACCGTCACTACATCCTCCATCGCCATCTTCACACACAATCGTTGGTGCTTCAGTTTAATTCCTCACAAGAAATGCTCTTATTTACTTCAGGTCAAGGCAGGAGCCCCAGAAGTAGCCATATTTGGTGCTGCGTCTGAGCTCTTCAGCAAGAAGAACATAAACTGCTCAGTGGATGAGAGTTTACAGCGCTTTGACGAGGTTATGAAAGCGGCTAAAGAAGCCGGTGTGCCAGTTAGAGGGTAAGAATAGTGGCCTCCCCTCAACTGTCAGCAGATCTTTAAATCACTTCAATTGCCCATTAATTCTTGCTTATGTGCTTCTTGTCATCACAGTTATGTCTCCTGTGTCGTCGGATGCCCGTATGAAGGCAAGGTGGCACCTGAAAAAGTGGCACATGTGAGTTATGGCTTGTTTAAAAAAAAAAAGAAAAAAGCGAAACTATTCGGCATTAATTGATGTCGCCGCTCAATCTGTCCTCTGCCTCACAGGTAGCTAAGCGGCTATACTCCATGGGCTGCTACGAGATTTCTCTGGGTGACACCATCGGAGTGGGAACTCCAGGCAGCATGACTAAAATGTTGGAGGCAGTGATTAAAGAGGTGCCCGTCAGTGCGTTGGCGGTGCACTGCCATGACACCTATGGCCAGGCTCTGGCTAACATCCTTGTAGCTTTACAGGTTAGGCTGGTTTGAGACTATTTTGTTTACACACACATATTCTAGGGCTGCCACAAACGATTATTTTGATAGTCGACTTGTCAGATCATGCATCCATTGGACCTGAAATGTACAGCTTATTGCTCCAGCATGTATCTGCTCTTACATAACTATCATTAGCTTACAGCTTAAAGTGTTTAAGCTAAAAATAAAGATACGATGACAGTTTATTAAAGATTAGGTAAAACTTTATTAATCCCTCGGGTGTGTTCAAATTCAAATTCAAATTTTTATTTGTCACGTACACAGTCATACACAGTACGATATGTAGTGAAATGCTTGGACAACTGCTCGTGACCTAAAGAAAACAAAAAAGGAAAGGCTATGAATAAGATAGGAAATAAATATGAAAAATTAAAAAGGGTAAATTTAACTAGGAAGGAATAAAATATAAATTAAGGTTAAAAATGAAATAACTGTACAACACAAATTAGAATGAAGGGTAAATTTAACTGGGAAAGAATAAGATAAAATATATAAATTAAAGTTGAAAATAAAATAACTGTACAACAAAATACACAATATAGAACTATATAAGAATGTATGAAGAAATCTAAATATAAATAAATATATACACAATAACAGCAGCTGTACAAGTATTAACCGGAAATGAAGAATATAGTGACCAGTGTTGTGCAAAAACAAAGTCCAGAAAGTCCAGTGTGTGTGTGTGTAAGAACCATATGTGTGGTGGTGTGATTGAGAGACCGTATGTTCCTCTGGGAAGTTCTGTTTCCAGTAGCACATCACCGACAGAAATTGCAAAACGCAAGCAGAAATAGCGCGCACGTGTTGTGTGTGTGTATATATATATATATATATATGTATGTATATATGTGTGCTGTGTTTTGTCCGCTCTGTCCACTTGTCTTTGCACAGTCATATTCACTGGGCTCCTACCCAGGGTAGATTGACTTCAGCACTGCCACACACACTTAGGATCCCACTTCCTAATCTCTACATATACATACTATCAATCACTTTCATAACAATCCTAGGGGGGGGTGATGATATCTCCCCCCTGTCCTGGCGTCCTGACTCCTCCTTGCCGTAGCATGTGTGTTGTACCTCGTCAATCTTTTACTGCAGTAGGCTTGCTTATCTTTACTGGATACAGATGCCCCAGGCGGGAATCGAACTTAGAACTCCCACTCCAGAGGCATGTAGTCTTACCACTACGCTATCCAGCTCCTATAAAAACAATACTTTTATTTCCCCCTTTACCATCATAATCAAGGGACTCTAAAAAAGCTCTGCAATTAGTGAAAATTGTGAATGAAAAATCTAACATAAATAATGGAGCTGGAAAATTGTTCTTGAATTCAACCATTTCTAAGACACGTGGGTGAAAATCACCTGACGTTAGTGTTCTAGGGTTAATCTTTGAGTAATGCAGAAGGATAATTGGGTGTCCTTTTAGCTGATCTGTTGTTTGCAGGATTGTACTCAAATATTTGATTTCTTTAGGCGGGGTTTGTATCATCAGGCTTGAGTTTGCCTCACTGTCGCCAGCTTGGGCGCTACTTTTTAACCTTCTTTAAAAAAAAAATACAGAGGAAAAACATTATTTGTGGTTCTGCTTTTCAGAGCAGGAGAGTGAGGAACACCTCTCTGTACACCGAGTGAGCTGCAGCAAGGCTGACGCTTTTATTGTTTGTAAAGGGGGGGAAAAGGAGGAGTTGTTCTGTTGCTTCCAATTTTCTTTCTGTGTGATTATATAGAGGAAGTCACATGACAGCCATTAACTTCCAGCTGGTGGTGCCATGTTGTTTGTGTGTATTTTTTCTTAATCACCCCATTTTGCTGTTGATTACCACTCAGTCTCTTTAAAAGAGAACCTGGTATTTTTGAATAGCTGTAGCTGGTCACTGTTGTCCGTTTTCCTGATTTCTATGCTTTGTGTTTGTTTGTTTTTCAGATGGGAATCAGTGTGGTGGATTCATCAGTAGCTGGACTGGGAGGCTGTCCCTATGCCCAGGGGGCTTCTGGGAATGTTTCAACTGAAGATGTAGTTTATATGCTGCACGGACTTGGAATTCAGACGGTAGGAGGACTGCAGACTTTGTCTGCGTAGATGCTGCTCGATCTGCTACCTGGCTGCTTGAAGATAATTATGACTTCCGTGCTTAAGTGCTCTAATATGACCTCTTAAATTTTGTCTGTACCCCAGGGAGTCGACCTCTCTAAGCTGATGGATGCTGGTGCTTTCATCTGTCGAACCCTCAACAGGAAAACCAGCTCCAAGGTGGCACAGGCAGCCTGCAAACTGTAGAGGAACGACAAACCGGAGGCTCTCTCTCTCAGACTGAACACTAAAGCGTGATTATGTAACCTGGAGCTGTCTCTGTGTTTTTTTGTTTTTGTTTTTGTTTTTTTTTGGGGGGGGAGAATTTATCTTCTATGGAAGATTGGGATCAGTAGGCTATGCCAGTCAAATCAGAGTAAAATATCTAATTGGATATTAACATGACAGCATTGCTGGAACGGTGCCTTATGTAAAGTAAGTGTAATCACATCATGACCTGTGTGCCTGTGTTTTAATAGTGTGCTTGCATTAGTTTCCAGGCACTGGCGAAGCCGACATGATCGCCAGACTTTGTTTATAACAATAAATTATCCAGTAAGCATCTTGTGGGCATGGATGACATCACCGTTTGAGTTTCCATCATTCTCCATCCTCGACTCAGGCATTGAGCTGGCTGGTGAAAAACTGTATTTACACAGGTTATTTTTATTTTAAATGTATTTATTTTCAAATCTAAAATGCAAATGTTTCTGTAGACTTTGTTTTAAAAATAAAGATTGATAAATTGTCTTGAATCTTGAGGATCACCTGTGTCTTATCTGGTATGATTCGTGGCCTGAAAGGTAGCTATACCTATACTCACATTTATTTTGTGCTTTTTAACCGTACCTCACACCCACAGCCAATTTAGAGTCATCGGTTAACATGACATGTACGTCTCTGGGCACCAGAGAACATGCAAACTCCTGCAGAAAGGCCCCAGCTGGGTTTCAAACTAGTAACCTTGTAACGATGAGTTTGCAATGCAAGTCAATGGAGGTGAGAGTGCATCTTCACCATTTCTATAGTAATTTTCCAGCTTGCGTAAATGACTCGGGATAAAAACGGTTCCTGCTACACCTTTTAAAACCGGCTTTGCGAGCCTGACAGGCAGATTGAGATTCCAGAAATGTCCGTTAAAGATCTTAGACAAGCAAAGCCCGTAGGAATGAGTCGGTGACCAAAGTCTAAGTTATGTAGTTATCTCAATTCTAACTTGTTTACAAATGTGAAAGTTGTCAAACGTATGTTGATTTTTCAAATCAACGTATGTTTTTGAAACAACTTGAACATAATATAATGACAAGCAGACGTCCCACCTGATCACAGATCGGCCTAAAAAAAATTAATCAAGGGGATTAAAGGCAGCTCTTAATAGCAACAAAGAAATAAATTATATAAATAAATTTAAAATACTTTAGAGGATGAAGCTAGGGCTGTTTTTAGACATTTTAGGCATTTGATGAACTGGCATGGAGTGACGCTCTGATAAAAGACCAAACAGAAACATATTCCAAACATTTAACATCTTTACAATTATAAAAATGAAATAATAACAAGGACAGGAAATACAATTCCTCAGAGCTTCCACAGTCGCCGATGAATGACTCACAAAAATACTTGAATACAGTTCCGTGAGCCGTGTGCGTGTCCACAGTCTTCCAGCACTGAATTAAACAGCAGCATTCCTTTCACCTTTAAAATCAACAGTGGTCTTGGATCAGACGGCGTTGTGTACAAGTACGTCAAAACACAGCGTGTCTACAGCATAAACTGAGACCAAGCAACATGTCTACCAAGGATTCAGAAGGAACAATGCAACAACAATAAATGCATTTTTTGTTACCATAGTTGATCCTAAATGCAATAGAAAACTCATTTTTTAAGCCAGTTTGCACAATTTCTACTATTCCTCAAACATACGTATCACCAAACGAGCCTCCACACTCTGCTGCACAACACTTTACTATAAAACTGGGAAAGGAAATCCATGATTTAAGTTCAAATTAAAATAAAGGGATCACAGAAGCAAAACAGGAGGTAGGGTGCTCAGACATGTGGATACTGGCAGGGAGGATTCATTACCACCACCAACCCCTCACCGCGCAGTGAACCTTTATTAAAAAATTCAAACCGCATATCACTAAGAGACCAATTTTGCTTCAAGCCAAAACAAAAGTTCATGTGCTCCTTAAGTGTTGCATGTGGACACAAGGGTCCACAGGATGAATCCAGTACTGATGACTCAACTTCCAGGCTCTGACAGAATGTAGTTTGGCTCATTGTTCTGAGTCTCTCATTTTTTTAGTTCTGTCTTTGGATTGCAGCCCAAACTCTGCAGAGCTTTTGCTCTTTGGCCTTGGTTTCAGCTCTGATCATGAGATAGATAGGTTAGGAGCAGAGGCTCGTATCTTCTCCTCAAGTCTGATTGCAGATGGTCTGTATGGAGGAAACTTGTATGAAGATTTGAGGAATGAAGGCTTTTCCTTTAGATCATGCTTCGACCCAACACGGTTGGAGTTGTTAAAGGGGTCCTCAAAGTCGTCATGTTGGATGTCCATGGCGCGGTTGCGTCTTTTAACCTTTTTTGCACACTGTACAATGCGCTTGTAGATGAGATAAAAGATCTCACAGATATTCAGGACGATGCAGAGGGCTGAAGCTCCGACCATGAAGTATGTAAAGACTTTTTTTTCAGTGGGGTGACCAATGTAGCAGTCCACAATGTTCGGGCAAGGCGACACTTCACACTTGACCAGCCTTGGCAGGTAGAAGCTGTTGTATATTCGGTGGAGGATATAGAGGAAGGCGATTTCAATGCCCGTCTTAGCAAAGAGGCTGATCAGGTAAGTCCACCATAAGCCGCCATGTTTCTTGCCCGTGTTGTTGTACAGCTTGGTGTTCTCACCATGCTTGGCCTTGTACTTGCGCTCACGGTCATCACGATACGCCACATGCATGACCACCATTAATGATGGACAGGTGACAAAGATGAGCTGCAAGGCCCATAGGCGGATGTGGGAGATGGGGAAGTAGTGATCATAGCAGACGTTGGCACAGCCGGGCTGCTTGGTGTTGCAGTCAAAGTCTTTCTGCTCGTCACCCCACACTCGTTCTGCTGCCACCACATACACCAACACCCTGAACACAAACACCACTGACAGCCAAAGACGCCCAAATGCCGTGGAGTATTTGTTCACCCCACTGAGGAGGGCTTGAAAGGTTTTCCAGTCCATGGTCTAGTCTGGCAGTTAAGTATCTTGGTAGCAGTTTCTCTTCAGACCTGGATGTGGTAAAATGAAGAATGGTTGAGCATATATTCACTATCACCTGAATTATCTGCTTTGAGACTCTGAACGTTAGTGTTTGTGAGCTCTTACATACGAGGCTTTCTTTAAAAATAAAAACATTTTCTTACTTAAAAGGAAAAAAATGGCACTGGATCTTGTAAAGCTGATTTTTTATTTAAAAACAGCTCCCACTTCTAATCTATCAGTGCTACCAGAAACACCCACAAACGCAATTATGAGGAGGCTTCATGCCAGCTTGGTCAAAAAGGAAATAGCTGAGCCAACACTAACACACCCAGAGCTTATACACATAAAATGTACTTTTTGGAACTTTATAGTTAAACAGTTAAACATTAAAAGGAGATATATAAGCACCAGTCCTATCATGTTAATTTGTTTATGAGTAGACTCATAAGTAGACTTGGAATCTTTACAGGTCGTTAAAAAAAGCCTTTTACGCACGGGCTGTCTTGGGTTTTGTTTAGTTTTTTGACTTTTTGGACACCGCGGTACGTACATGGCTCTTCTCATTCACCAGAGATAAATTACAGTTACGTAAATTGCTCCACGAAAGTCCGCGAATCGATCACTCAGCCTGCGATCATTTCCAGCTTGCGCAAACGCGAAGTACATTTACGAAGTTTAAACGTCAAAATCAAGAGAAGGAAGAAAAAGGTTTTCACTAACCCAAGAAGGTTAATCCATAATTGTTCCAAACCGATGCAAGCACGTGTTTATTCCCCGATGATCTGTCGTTTCTTTTAGTTCGTTTGACTCCTTTAGTGCACAGACTTGGCTCTGCTCGCCAGGTAAGGGAGCGCAGTGCTGAGAAATGTCTTTGTGGGTGTGGTTAATACGAAAGACTAGAACTTACCCCCAGATTTTCCTCATCTCCCTCTCTCCATGTGCCTCTTGTTCGCCAAGACAGTATAAAGATTATTACAGCAACGAACTGCGTTGTTTCCGGGTAATTCTGGCAGGATTTGAAAATACGGGAGCAATCACCACACTTGGTTCAAATGTACTGGTGGCAATCTGGGGACCACCAGGAATCATTCTGAGGGTCTGAAGATCAGACTTATCATCACTTCACAATGAATAAGAGTTTTCTTCCCCACACATGTACCTTCTGAGGTGTACCAATATTAATCTGACTGATTAAATCTCATCGAACAGCGTTAACTGGCATTAAACCTTTTCAATATATTACTTATTTATTTATTTTTCAAAGGGTTAAAAGGCAAAGCACTTAGCTTCATTTTTTATGTTTGAGGATTCCAAGAACAGGGTTCGCTGCCTTGCCTCAACTTGTTTCTGAGTGCTTAACAGAGTAGACTAAAAGGAGGACACACCCTGAGGTGAATACATTTTTTGTTGTTATGTGTGACTCTTCCTCTTCATGTTGAAACTTTCCCTACACTACTTTTTTTTTCTTCTTTTAACGAGGTTAAAGCAAAAGATTAGACTTTTGTTAGCGGGGAGATCAGTTTATATATTTGTTTGATTTGTGTTCTTTTCTTTGTAAATGAATCAGTTTTCTTCTTTCAAGGCTGAATATTGTGTTTCCTTTATGCTTTTCGAAACGTCTACTCGTCTCAGATAACAACTCACAAACTCCCAGAACGCTCAAGCTCCTCTTCATTGTAAGATCATAAGCTGCAGCTTTTGTCTCCTCTTTATCATCTGTAGGTTAAAAACTATTGTATTATTTTGCAGATGAAGATCCTGTCTGGAACATCCAATGTCTGTTTGTTTGAAATTCCAGGGCCTTGCTACAACTTGCCAGCTCTTGTGCTGAAAGCATTTCTATTCAGTCTTTGAATACAAATAATATAATGCAATAACATAAGTCAGGTTTGTTTGTACTGTTTAGTATCACAAACACAATGCCCTAATGGGTTTGATACAGGCTCATAATAGCCATGTCTCCCCACCAAACACAAAAGTTAAAATAAGTCCAGGAAAAGTTAGCAGAAATCACAGAAGTTCCTGTTCAGGTGTCACATGCACGGTGCAAAACCAAACCTGATCATCAAGTTAAGTTACTGTTACTCTTTGCACCTTGTAAACCGCTTAAAAGAAAAAGATATAATAAGAACTGTGAACCAGAACCAGGTGAAAATGTGCACAACCACAATTAATTCAACTGTATATCTTTAAATGCTTTAGAAAGAACTTCCTTTACATATTCCAGTCTTGCATTCAAACAACAAACACCTTTGTGTCATTTTGTAAATGTAAAAGCAACACTAGATGCAGATTGTTGGAGTGGTGCTCTCTTTAAATGACATGGCTGAACTTGAAGCTTCAGCTGTAGCTGAGCTTTTCAGGAAATCCTGTGAGGGCAGGGCAGCACAACATCAGCAATTCACAACTTAGATCAGTTCGGTGGACAGAAATTACATTCAATTCGGGGAGGGGTTAAAAAAAAGAGTCTTCTAGACTTTAAATGAAGAACTAGTCAAGGCAGATGAGGCACGCCTGGAAAAATGCAGTCTGTGACTCAACCGTGGCAAGTCTTTACGTGAGAGGCCAAAACGACAGGATAAACACTTCTCTGGTTGTGATGAAAGTAAGGAAACAGAACAGAGGAAGTTGGTGCAAGATGAGAAGATACACCAGGGAAGGTCTGATGATGAGGCTCATTAAAGAAAAGACCCACACAAACAGACCACATAGAACAAGCACAGAACAGAGCTGAACATAAAGCTGCTCGAAATTTCAGTGCCAGTTTATATTACACAATACTTTATGTGACGAAGGTTAATAAAGTTATTATTGGGTTATTGTCATCACCAGAAAATATCAACTATCAAAGGTCCACGTTCGTCTTGTGCCTTTTCCCTTGTGGAAGGATCCTCTAAAGAATCTCGGACTAATTTATGTTAAGCCAAATCATGACTGGTCACACTGCTTCAGGAAAACCTGCATTGTTCCATGACAGGAAAACATTATGGCCTTAACTACAGTTATTCTCATTTCTAATGCATCTAATTGGGCTGGACCTGGTGGGAAACAACCACCTATTCCAAAGTTTCTCCTACCAAAAGCCCCAAACTCAACAACAGCGAGTTAAATATATAAGACAATGTAAACTTGCAAATATTCTCATTTGTGGCAGACGGTACCAGTGAGTTTTGGGGGCATTAGTCAAATAATCTCAACTACTTAAGATTCTCTCAATCAATATTTAATTCATCTCTAGATGGGCCCAACAAGGACCTCTGGCAGCCTGGAGAATATTTCTGAAAGTTCAGGTAATTTTAAGGATCGCTTGACCTAAGTCATGTACACACATACCAAAACAAAATTTTCTGCTTAGTGCACATCTGTCATATTTCTGATGGCATTCCACAGTGAAGGTGAAAGTGGCTTTCCTGAATGTTATTACGATAATCTACAGACCTCAGGGGTAATTTTTGAAAAGAGTGTCTACTAAAATATACTTTAACACTTCCAGTTGAACATTCACGTCTACATGTCTCAATGAGAGCAAAAAACTCTCTCCTTAGATCTACTTCATCTCTCTTACAGTGTAAATACTGAAGCTGTCCATTCAGAATAGCAAATTCCTGTGCTGGGTGGATCCACACATCAGCAGGGATGAAACAAACCGAGGAGTGGGAGGTTCCTGCTCTGCCCGTTTTAAAGTACCAATCAACTGTAAAAAGTTATGAGGGCGCTGCTCATGGCAACAAAGCAATTTGTACAGCCAATGAGAGAGGGCCTTATGAAACACACGGATGAAGGAAGAAAACAAGAGAAGAAAGTCTGACGCCTTAGTCCAACCACAGAACCTCTAATCCTTTTCTGGACAGGCCGCCTGCTTTACATTGTTCTGCATGGGAAGATTATCTGTTTACTGGAACTACAGCTCTCATTCTGAAGTTAATACAGTATATGCTGCAGTGTGTGGACCTCTAGGACTCAACCCTGCACTAATAAAAACACACTCAAAATGCAAAATTATAATCTTTAATGAAAAATAATCACAACAAAACTGCATCTCAGTGCAGTTTATATAAACACCCTGATATCACTGACTGCTCTTTGTTCTCTACTGCATGTACACAGGAAATACAGAAAGTAAAATGCAGCAACTTTCCAACCTTTTGATAAATAATAAAAAATACAGTTCACCAAGAGTCTGACACACTGAGTGTCTGAGTCAGAGGGAAAGACTGCACACAGTTTGAACCAAACATCTTGAGGCTGGGCAAGAGCAGAAGGAAAATCTTACACACAAACCACATGTGTTTGTAAAACCTTACTCGCCAAACCAGCGAGTGACTCATGTATTTGATCTCAAGGCTCAGTTGGACACCGCTTTGCACAAATTGTTTTTTATTCTCTGCAAGGGCTAAAGAAATGTAAACCGTAAAATAAGTCCCTACAGCAGAGAGGAGTGCAGAATTTAAACTTTTAAAACCATATAGAATAAACTACACTGCAGTTCAGTCTCTGAGAAGAAGAAAAATCTTCTGTCAAGTCTTTTAAGGAAGTTGCTGTAGAATGGCGAGAGACAGCTTTGCTTTCCCATGTCTTTTTCATAAAGTCTGTGTAATGTTCTCAGTATCTCAAGATACATAGTACGACTTCTTTTCAGTGGTGCCTTGTTCCGCTGACTTTAGAGCGTTTGCCTCCATCAGTTTGCTTCCGCTGGACATTGAGTGGGTGATGACCTGACGAGAGTGATGGGCTGAGCTGAGAAACTCATGGCAGCGTTTTCCGACTAGGTAGAGGATTTCAAAAAAGGAGAGGAGGATGCAGGCTAAGCTGGTGACCACCATGAAGATGGTGAAGATTCTTTTCTCAGTAGGCCGAGAGATGAAGCAATCCACCGTGTTGGGGCAGGGAACCTGTGCACACTTAATGAGACTGGGGAAGCTGTAGCCCTCGTACATGTGGTAAACAAGGAAGACGAAGGTGGCGTCCACGCCTATTTTGAAGACCAAAGTCAGGATATAGGTCCACCACAGGCCTCCACGCTTCTTGCCCGTGTTTGGGTAGAGACGCTTGCAGTTCTCGCCATACTTTAGCTGATTTTTCCGTTCTCGGTCCTCCCTGTAGGCGACGTGCATCACCACCAGGAATGAGGGGCAGGTGACGAAGATAAGCTGGAGGGCCCACAGGCGCACATGGGAGACGGGGAAGAAGTGGTCAAAGCAGACATTATGGCAGCCGGGCTGATTTGTGTTGCATGTGAAGTCTTTCTGTTCATCTCCCCACACCTTTTCTGCTGCCACCACAAACACCATAATTCTGAAGAGAAAAACAACCGAGAGCCAAACTCTGCCGAAGGCTGTGGAGTATTTGTTCACTCCGCTGAGGAGGCCCTGGAGAACTACCCAATTCATGATGACTTTTGTTCACAGTCTGTCTTCTCTTGCTGCTGATGGAAGAGAGAGGCAGCCGTTGGTGGAACAGACCAACGTGAGGGATGAACTAGCCTGAAACAAGAAGAAAACGCAGTCGAATCAGAAATGCATAAAAAGGGAGAAGAAACAAAGTGTGGAGGAGCTGGGTCGTAAGCGTACACGTTTGCGTGTTTACACGGATTTGGGGCGACAGTGAAATACACAAATCCGTGTAACGCGAGCAGAAAAGAGACTAAAAACGTATAGAGTGTGTTTTCAGTTGCAAAACGTCTGACTTTGGCAATCATCTGCGTGCGGAGTCTCAATCCGTCAAGTCAAACCAGCCTTTCCACTTCACACAGTTTTAACAGTTAACGCGCAATAGCGCAAACCAAAGTAGACAACAAGCACTAAAAACTCACTGAAACAAACTCACTTTATTATCTGAGCAACTCCTTTACACATGTCTGTGAATACTCACAGTTTAAACCCAGATGTCGCGGTTCAAAGTCGGAGCGCAGGAGCGGAGTTTGGACGAACCTCTCCGATGACACTCTCGGAACATTTCCCGACAGGATGGGAGTGGAAGGGGCGGAGT